TTGAACTTTGCTGGATAGCCTCTTAGCTGCTCTGACAACAAAGTCTTTTTAAGTAAAAAAGAAAAAAATTAATGAGTTCAATATCGTCAATGTTGAACATGTACACTGAATGCACTTGAAAAAAATTATTACAGCAACGTCACTGCCGTCTTGTTATTTAGGGATTTTTGTACGGTGAAGTTTTTCAGTTTTGAGGTTTTCTCTCTATGAGTAAACAGCGTAAAAAAGCACCAGTACAATACAAGGCTACTTTCCCCTAATCGAATTCAAAAGTTTTATAAGTCGTTTTTTTAAATGGAACTTACCAAGTCAAAATTTTGGTCAAAAAATTTGGAGCAGCTTATCTCCATAGCCACAAATTTTGTTTGTTTATGTCCCTAGAAATTTTGTTAAAAAATCATAGGTATGTTTTAATGTTGTGATGTCAAACTTCTGACTTTTATTATTCTAGTGTGCTGGTTCGCTTTATGTAAGCCTTTGTAATCGAATACCTCAGGACAGACATCACTACCTAATGTCCAAGGGTGTCTATACAGAAAAAAAATTTTTTTGCAAAAGATACAAGCAAAGTTTATACAGATCGGCAATAAATTTTATTCACAATCACTAATGTAATATGCCGATTAATAACCTTTTAAAGGGTGGGAAACACATCATGAAATCTCATGAGGAGTAATAATATTCCTTCTCTTGGGCGGTAATATGCACGATAGCCAACCTTAAAATTACAACAATTCCGGAAATTTTTTCTTTCAAATTGTCAAGTTACGCATAATATTTCGCTAAATTAGTATTCAATTGCTTTTGTAGCAGTTTCTCTTAATTCTGGGAGAGTACATTGCTCCATTTCGACGACTTTAAATCAAATTTACACATTATTTCAATATTTTCTTTGACATTTCTGAAATGTCAAAAATCAAACGTCATTTGGATGGCCTACCACGTTTGGACCTTACCTTTGTTAGAATTTTATTTCACCCAAATTTTTGACTGAAAATAATGTGATTGTGAATAAAATAGCATACAAACCTCGGTGGTAATGGCATTGATCGTATACATAAGCACTCGGGGTAATGCCATATTTACCATCTCGCTTGTAATGTACTATTAATTCGCTTACATAAACCCACAAACAATATGTAGCAAATGCAGAAGTAATTACTCTTAGCTTTTTGGTTGCAATCTGCAATAAACATTCTCCCATAAACAAAATTGAGTTTACCAAAAACTGATGCAAATCTTTGGATCCCATTGATTTATGATTTTCACAAAAATGTACACATCCAATCATAAATGTTCGATACGTTTGCACTAAAATAAATTATTTATTATTACAATTCTCCAAAAAAATCTAACTCACCAACGTAATAATTATCGTAATAATAAAAATATAAATACAGTAAAACCTCTCAACAACGGACACCGATGGGGAAACTTTAATTGTCCGTTGTGAAGAGGTGTTCCTTAATGGGAGGTGAGCAAAATTAATAAAAAAATTGAAACGCTTTTTATTCAAAATAAGAAAATAACAAAAACAAAATTATTCCTACCTTATAGTTCTTAAAATATAACTTGATTAATGCCACGCCTTTACGTGGTTACCTAATACCTACCAATCAAAAACTAATCAAAGGGAGTGTAAGTCACACTGCTACATATTTAAAATATGTTACGTTGAAAATTACTTGAAATTAAAGTTTTAATCAAAATTTGGTGTTTTGTACTCAAGTCGAAGTAAAAGTAAGTACTGCGTAACAGAACTCTATGCAAAACATACAATATAATTTATTAGCTAAATTAAAAAAAAATGTTTAGTGTAATTTTTACTCTGAGACAATAGGTCTGCTGTTGATGGGTGAAGCATACATCTTCTTTATGGACTATAAAAGCATTACAAAAAAATAGAAAAAAACATTTTTATTTGAAAACATCGTTCATTTTTGTTTGTTTGTTTAAACCAAAAGTTATTTTTTTTATGTTTTAGGAGTTTGTTACTGTAACAAACAAGTTTTTTCTTTAATTCTGTATTCTGCAATTCATTAATTTAATCATTGAATCTTATATTATCTGTTTTAGAGTAAACCGCTCTGTCGGTCTGTCCGTTGTAGGAGGTAAATTTATATGACATTATGATAATTGGGGCAAATTTCACTGTCCGCGTCCGCTAATCATATGGTCCGTTGTAGAGGATTTTTTACATTACATTTCTATGTATTAGTTACGTTCCTTCAAAAATGTCCGTTTTTAAGAGGTGTCCGCTATTTAGAGATGTCCGCTAAAGGAGGTGTTACTATATTTCAAATATTAAGTGCTTGGATTATATACAGGCTGTTCCGGCTAAACCCCACATTAGAAGTATTGGTATTGACAGTAAAATATCTAAAATTTTAATTATAGCCATAATCGTTTAGATACTGCCTAATAAAAATATTTTCAACGTGGCTGCACTTCGGGTTACACCGGAAATGAGTATCAACTTAACTTATTTTAAATAGAAAGTTGTTTTTATTGCGTATTTGGATTACTTAAGTGATTTTGAGAGAGTCTTCCCTATACCTAAATTTAATAACCGTTTTTGAAATATTTAAACTTTTCAAAAAATTTTTTAATTTACATCTGCCTCTTCAAAAATTGATAACGCTACCATTTTTAATTATTTTGAAAACGTATTTGGCCATATGAAAAAAAGGTTAAATTTTTTCTTTCGTGTATTTATAATTGGAACAACAATTAAACAAACCTCCAAAATAAGGTTACGTTTGGGAAACTTCAAATACCCGTAACTGATTTTTTTCAAATAGAAGGCCCCAATTTTTTCTTCACTAAATGAAAGAGAATTTAATTCTGCATCGATCTGTATCAACATCCCCTATACCTACATTTAATGTTTTCCAAGTTGTTTTGACTTTTTTTTATAATGGAAGAAATTCATTACTATCCATGGTAGTTTTCACATAGTTTGCCATGGAAATATTTCTCAATGAAAAAACGCCCAGATTTTTTTCACAATTGTGTTATTACTCTTTACGTAAATACAAATCAAATTTATTTACTTAATTTTAATTTGAATAACTTTGATATTCAATTTTTTTCTTATTTCTATGACAACCTATGCAAAAGTAGCTATGGCTAATGAATTTCTCACAATATCAAAAGAAGTTACTACATATAACTTGAAAACTATCAAACATAGGTATAGGGAATGTTAATACAAATCTAAGCAAAACTAAATTCTACTCCATTTAATAAAGAAAAAATTCGGATGTTTCATTTAGAAAAATTGAGTTAAAGGTATTTGAAATTTCCTAATCGTAACCTTACATTTTGGCGATTTGTTAATTATTTTTCTAATTATGAAGGAAAGATCTAACCTTTCTCTCTCGTATACCCAAATACGGTTTCAAGAGAATAAAAAATGGTAGAGTTATCGATTTTTGAATAGGAAGATTCAAATCCAAAATTTTTTTAAAAAGTCTAAATATTTCAAAAACGGTTATTAAATTTAGGTATTGGAAAGTCTGATAAAAACTCTCTCAAAATCACTTAAATAATCCAAAAACGCAATAATAGTATATTATAATTCTAGTTTATAAGCAAGCATTTAAAACACGCACGACGGGTTTAAGAGCACGACGTGTCCGCGGAGTGCTTTTAACGTTGTAAGTGTTTTAAAGGCGCTTATAAAAGAGTGTTATACGCTATTTTTTATTATACCTGCCCATTTACGATCGTTTATGAGCATTGAAAAAAATGTGAATTTATACAATAAAATTATGAAAGGTTGTTTGTGAATCGTTTTCGTAGAGACAGTTACTAGTTTACGTTGTTAAGCACATTTTTTCACGTCGTAATTGGTCCAGACATTTCACTATTTCTTGCTACCTAGACAACTTTAAAATTCAGCGTGCTGTAAACGCCAAATTACGCACGCTGCAGCGTGTTATTATTTAGGATTATGATGCAGGTATAATAAAAAAACATAACTTTCTGTTTAAAATAACGAAGTTAATATCCACTTCCGGTGTAACAGGAAGTACCACGCCACCATCTAGAAAATATTCTCATTGAGCAGAACCCTCGGCAGAACATAACCAATTATGGCTATAAACAAAATTTTAGATCCCAATACTTCTAATGTGGAATTTAGCCGTAACAGCCTGTATAATATAAAAAAATATATAAAAAAGGAATCTACTCCAAGCAAAAATATTTTCAGAAGCCAACCTAACCTGTTTCGTTTTATTCAAACATCATTAGAGATTATTTTCCTAATTTACAAAATAGCCTCTAATGATGCTTGAAGCTTAAATAAAACGGAACCAGTTAGGCCCCTGAAAACAATTTTGCTTGAGGTTCCCTTTTTATACTTAATGCTTGAGATATTTTTACCAAACAATTTTTCAGTTTTAAATATTAGGGCAATAAATTTACGTATTATAACGGTTTTCTGAAAAGCTAATGTATTAATTATTAATAATCAAATTAGAAATAAAACACAAGTCCACATACTTAGTACGACGTTTATTAACTTACATTTCCTTATTAGCAATTATTTTAGTTAAGTATCGCATTATGTTTCTTGTACAAAAGAATTTCGTAAGACATAGTGCTTTCTTCTCTTAAATTATTATTATAATACATAGGAACTGTATTGAAATACGTATCAATTTTTCCAATTTTAGAGCCTCCGTTAATATTTATTCTTCCAATGTTTATTTCTCCTTTACCATCTTCATGACCACCACGCACTCCAATATTACTAACCAGTAGCGTGTGTACGTTTTTAGAATCTGTTGGAACCCAATATAAATTTTGTTGAGGACCACAAAGTATCTAGAAAATAATAGTAGATAACATACCGAGGTGGGAGATGCTTCATTATCAAAGCAAAATTTGATGACCAAGGCGCGAAGCGCCGCGGTTAACAAATAAAACGAGGTAAAGACGGTCGAAAGATATACCGTATTTACAGTATTTTATGGGTTTGGTTCTTTAATAACTTTATGACCACCCCAACATAAAACATTAGACCATAATAATTATTTGCCCCGGAGACCAAAAAAAAAAGAAAGAAAAAAATTTGAAGATAGATATGAAGATACATTAAAAATGTTAGGAACTATAAACTATACACTGAGAAATGATTTGAGTGAAATTAATCAATGTTTATTGTTAACTGCTAAAAACTAAAATAAATAGTTTCTAAACTGGGCCATGGGTTAATAAATAATTTTCGGTTTCCTCTTTTATTGTCTTTATTCGATACCGCCTTAGAAAGTGACCAATCTCCATGGTTACCCGTGAGTGAAGGTTCCACTTTCGCGCACTCCACTTTGGCTCACCGTTTTCCGCTCACTGTCTTTTGTAATTTAGATTTTTCAGGCAACATTTGATATAGTCGGCTTACTTGTAAAACCTTCTAAGTCCGATTTTCAATCACTGGGATTTAGAAGATTTTACAAGTAAGCCGACGCATATGGGAGCTCCCCCAATGGGGCTCACAAGGCTGCGCCCCCGGCATTTCGTCGGCTTACTTGTAAATCCTTCTAAATTTAAATGACTGAAAATCAGACTTAGAAGGTTTTACAAGTAAGCCGCCGATATTTCGCTGCATCTGCCTCTTCCAGGATATCCTCAGGAACATCATCCATTTTTAATAAAATAAACACCACAGATAAACACAATAATTATTATACAAGACGATAAAAAAATTGTTTATTTACGAGTGAAAAGGTTAAGTTTACAAGAGTGACAAAATCACGAGTCGACTTTTTTTCACGAGTAGATAATAGTTACTTAATCTACGAATTTGAGTGTAAATCGGACGGATTATTTCACCGAGTGGATTTAAATTTTTAAGCGTCCGATTTACACTCAAACGAGTTAAATACAATATTTTATTCTTCGAATTAGACTCAACAAGTCTTAAAGTTGCTTTAAATCTGTTAAAAATAATTTGATGTTTCGTATTGAGAAATGCCAAACAGTTGTCAAAACTTCCTTACACGGGAGAAAAACCATTCGACCATATATAGATAGACCAGGCATACTCTGATTTGTTGTGAAGCCAACATGTGCAGGTGGGGCAAGGGGAAATGACTAGTGGTACGCGAAATTGAGCCTTAGAGAACTCCTTCTCATAATTCATTCATAATATGTGAACCACCAGTGGCGTCGTAATGTATTCTAATATTCCAATATTACATTGAATATTTATTTTATATTGTAACTCGGGCGATATGATTGTAGATTGTTAAGTGATCACACCAAAAGAGTCAAGTAGTTTGAAAATCTCGAAATACCACAGGTTTTAACAAGAAACATTATTTATGAAACTTATAATATTTTTCATTTTCTGCCCCTTGCCTACGAGCCGCCATTGAACAAGGAGTAAAGAAGAGTAAGCATCCTCTTGCCCCTCACTCCTCTTGTCCATACATGTTGGCTTCAAACAAACTGAAAACAAACTCGCTGGATGGCGTGTCTATCTAATACGTATATATGGTCGAAGGAAAAACCGTAAATTTTGACAGTGTTGAAGAATAAACAATCTTTATCGTCGTGTATAATATTTCGTTTTATTTTGTACTCACCCAACAAAATTTCTTGTACAAAAATATAAACAGTAGATAAAAATTACTTCATTTCACTAGACGATAAAAGACTACTTTATCTACTGAAATTAGTTGATTAATGCACTCTTTAACATTGAGTACAAACTAAAAGTTACAATCTGAGATTGACGTTACAGAATTTGTTTATGTTGTATTTTGTTTAGTTTCCCAGCAACACCTCCTATGCTCAAGAGTTCCTTCCTATACAGGGTCTTCCAAGTCGCCCCGGCCGATAAAACCTAAATTTATTTTTTTTTCAAAAACTAAATGTTCAAATAATACTATTCATTCCTGACTTTCTTAGTAAATGCATCAAATTTTTTTGGCACATTCGGTGTAGCCGGAAATGTTACTGTTTAACCATGGGATTAAACAGGATTTTTTAAAGAAATTCTAATTAAAATCAAGAATTTTTCACGAAAGTTGTCGCAGCGGTTGAGTGACCCATGCCGGCAGTTCCACGACATCAACAAAGATCAGCAAAATGTCCTAACTGGGTCACTTGATCAGCGCCAAGTAAACAAAAACAAATAGGTTTTAAAAGTTTAAATGAAGTAATTATAATTAGAAATAACACCGTTTTAGATGAATTGTTTTAGTTTATAAGAAAATTTTGTATATATTCAAATTATTTTTTATAATAAACCAGTATTGAACTTAATCCCGAGTTCTTACTCAAACAGCTATCAAATTTAATTTTACAAATGGAACACCTATGTTTTTTTTGCTCGAAACAATAATAATTGGCATCAAAAATACGGTAAACCACTATTTTTTACATTTTACTTTACATAATGCACTCAAAAAACAATTTAAATTTTAGAATTTTATTAGCAAATTTGGCAACGTAGGCGGATTTTACTTGTCAAGGTATTTATGCAAAAAGCAATATGCTTGGATACCGTTTAATTTTTAGTTTGACAAAGTCTCTTTTGTCAATAAATCTTATTGAGATCTTTAATAATGGATGATATTAATTACGACGAATTGGTAGATCAACTTGAAGTGTTTTTTAAGTGCAATAAAAATAGAGCGGAAGCTGAAAGACAGTATAGAGAAAAATACCCAAATAGAGTTCACCCAAGTCGTTGGAAATTTAGTCGAATTGAAAAATAACTGAGACTAACAGGTTCGCTTCTTAAAACTAAAAAACCTGTGATTCTTAGTGAAGAACAAGAAAATAGAAATCTGAATGTTTTGTTATCAGTCGAAGAAAATCCAAGATTTTCCATAAGAGAATTCGCTCATAAACTGACAAATTAAATTTGTCAAACCAACAATTAAACAGTATCCAAGCATTTTTTATTCACACCTTTCCTTTAAAATGAAAAATCATTCTACGCGAACAATTTCCTTTTGATTGCATTTTGTTACGCAAAATGTAATAAATAGTGGTTTACCGTATTTTTCATGTCAATTATTATTGTTTCGAGAAAAAAAAACACATAGGGGTTCCATTTGAAAAACTAAATTTGGTAGCATTTCCGGCAACACCGGATGAGCTAAAAAAATTGATACATTTATTAAGAAAGCCAAGAAGAATATTATTACTTAAATATTTACTTTTTGAAAAAAAGAAGTAAGTTTAAGTGTTATCAGCCGGGGCGACTTGGACCGAACACCATGTATATATTTTTGAAATGTAGGAACTCTACTCTCGACTATGTGATTTATTTTTATTTAATTTTTTTTAATAAAATATACAATAATTTCGAATACAAAGTTACAGATCCACTTACTTATGGAGGTATCGAACCAGAGCACCCGAGAGTAAGTAAGGTCGCTTTCGTTCACTCGAATTGGAATTCGCGTGGACGAAAGCTTCACCTTCCTCACTCTTACTGTAAATAACTACAAAGTGATCAAGAATGAATGCATCTGTTGGCAATACTGACTTTAATTTTTAGAGGATTCTGGAGTATGCTTCTGATTAAGAACAATTTAAGAATCTTGAGAGGTTGTACGTCAAGCAAAACAGTATCCGGTTGCAGTGTTACAAATTATTAACAAAAATACGTTCAAATCTGTTGCCAACTTAAACAGTCCTTAATGATCACGCGTATTACTACGATAGAGACTGAAGCAGTGACTGAAGTTAATATTGTTATATTTAGAATTACGTCCACAGTAGAGACAACATTTGATGTAAATATTGGGATTATAGTAAAAATCATAAATGAATTTAAACAAAACAAAGGTATCGAAAAACAATGCGTATCAAAATTGAAAAATCTCCAAAAAACTCAGTTAACCTCAAAAAGTAATTCTAATAAACACAGCCAAACCACCTACTTTAGAGTTTCTAGGAACATTTTTTTCTCGATACAGGATTAGAATCAAAAGAACACATTACAAAAGCAGAGAAACCGGTTACAAAATTTAGAAGATTAGAATCCCCTAGCGGAACCTGCTACCTGAAGATGAAATGTCATACTTTCCAACTTTCCACAAACAAAGTAATTTAATTATTACGTTACGATTGTGAATAAACGAATAATCAAAATATAATTATATTACATTACAATTATATTACCTTTACATTCTTCTCTATTTTTTGTACTACATCTTGGAACGCCGGAACATAAACTTTTTTTATTCCATCAAAAATTTCACAGATTACTTCACCTTGATGAGCTATATATGCTTGTCCAATATAAACGTTTTTACCGTTTGCAAGTTTACCTCCGACTACAGCATCAAGGGGCACTTCACCATTAGTGTAATCTCGCCAAAAATAATCTAAAAATAAACCAATAAAACGTTACATGAGTATATAAATTTTATTAATCCTAACTTAACCAGCTTGAAGACTTAAACACTGAGGAATGATACTTAAGAGAAATGGGAATAAGAGGAATGTAAAGCGCAACATTTTGTTCGAAAAAGCAAAAACAACTACTAATAATTTGCAATTTGCTATTGCTTATATATGCAAATTTTACTAAAACAATATTATCTTATAACGTTAAGTCGAACTCCTGTTTTGGAGTGTTTTCATTAATTAATAATATATAAACATGCGGAATAATACTGGATTAATCACGAGAAATAATGAGCCTGACCAAATTCTCGATGCAAACACCCTGTACAGTACAAACAGTGCAAAATCGCATATAAACCTAATTTATTAATAAATAAAGTTGATAACCTATTTCTCCTTTTTTTTTGGTTGGCTGCCTATACCTCGGCAGTCTGTATATTGATAAAGAGCTGATCGTGTTTTTTTTATGGGTGCCATCCAGCGGAATAATGACCTTTACTACCACGTGACTGGAAACGCAGCACTCAGCAAACAAAATAATAAATTAAGAGATATATTAAAAAACTTACAAGCTGTCCGAAAAGTCGCTCACCTCCGTGACACTCCCTAGACAACAAGAAAAATGTTAAAAAAAAACTATCTATAAAAATTGCGAAGTTATGAGAGTTTAAATTTTGCATTTTAATGCTAACTATTTATTTCTGTTGAAAAAAGAAATTTCCAAGTTTTTTTGCTACAGGCTATTAGAAGAGGAAACAAAAAAGCTGTATGCTAAACTGTAACTCTGTTTAGTGTTATTTGTGGCTTTTATTCGCAAAATTTTGTACCTTTACTAAATAATTACAAAAAAACATATACAAGATCAGTAGTATCATTAAATAGACATAAAAAATGAAAAATGTCAAAAATTTTTGACAGATAGAATTTTTTAATAGTATATTACATAACGAGCACGGAAAGTGACAAATAACGCACAAGTGGGGAGCCCCACGAGTGCGTTAGATACTTTCCAGCGAGTTATGTAATATACTATTAAAAAAGTCACACTATTTTTCCCACGACCTCCGTAATCTCACCACAAAAAAAACACTACCATTTTCAATGAAACGATTTAATGTTTCTGTTAAAAATCTAACATCGGCAGTGATAAGTTAGGTGTTTATTAGTGTATTAAGTACTTACTTAATTAAGGTGATTTAGCTTTAAAATTATCGATGGTTTGAATTTGAAAAACTATGCGTCAATTTTGTACGATGAAGTAAATAAATGTCAAAAAAAAGATCTCCTCCAACCGCACAACCTCAGTACGTTATTTTCATATCGGCACCGTGTCGTTAAAAGAATTCGATATCGTCAACTTTCGTAGGTAATTTGTTGTATGGAAACAGTTACTTTCGTGTACGGTCGTGGGAAAAATTTTTTTCAGTACTTTGGGGACTACCCAATTACTTCCTTTCAAAGAGGTGCGCCACTTTCAGGACATCTTGTATATTGTATCTTTAATGAAGTTAAATTACACTGGATTAGAATTAAATTAGAGATTAAATTAGATTAAAAAAATGAACGAAATATCGTATAGGGCTATATTCCTTACAATGGTGAATGTAAAATTAAGTTGAAAATTGCATGACCCTATTGAAGAACCAATCTGAATTTAGTATTTAATATTATTACCATAGCAACACAAAAAAATATTGGAATTTTTTTGCCTCATTAGCTAAAATTCAACTTAAGAAACTTATCTGAAACTCCAACTTTTTTCTTCTTTCTTCCCCCAAAATTCTGGCTCGAAGACTTTTGGACACATAACACATGTATAGTCGTTACCAGGAATATTTGAGATTGACGTATGCAAAGGTTTATTGAGGATTAAGCAGCCTTGCGGTCGGCCGTAATAATTTTTCACTGCTGGTGATACTACCCTAAAGATATACAAAAGAGCCGTATTCAAGAATTTTCGTGGGAGGCATTTGGAAATTTATATATTAATTTAGTATTAAAGTTATAATGCATATTTATAAAGAAACAATCTCAAAATATAGCTGAATATTGAAATTAATTTTTTTTATGAAAGCCCAAAAACAAATTTCTGTTACGGACCATCTCGTCCTATAAACCTTTGAAACGTGCCTGTCCTAAGAAATGCAAATTTGGTAATGGCATCTCTACCGCAAGCCCCATGAACCACCGTGGGGGGTAATCGTCTTATTCTATAATGAGTCTCAAATATTGTTGGTACCAACTATATACCTTCTTCACATTCTTTTATGGTCCGATAAATTGTTGTTACAGAAATATTTTGTTTTTTATAAATTGCAGAAATTTCACGTTTTTGCAGAAATTTCACGTTTAGGCATTCGCCCAACTAGATTGTAAATGCCTTAACAAATGTCTAGCTTATAAGACATAAGAAAACCCGAACGTAACAAATAAACTGCCATAACATAAACAAGTCAATTGTCAAACTTTACTTCTAGCAACAACCTGTTTAAACACTATTTGGTACAAATAAAAACTATCTTAAAGAATTCCCAAAACTTTAGGATCAAACGTTATTATAAATTCTGAGAAAGTAACTGGAGGTTTATTGCTTTATCGGACTATGCACCGACTCATAATTCAGTAATTTAGATTTACTCAGGTATTTTTAAAGCAAATAGGTTGAAACTGCTGTAGTTGTAGTCTATCGCTGGGGTTTATGGTTGGAGGCATATTTTTTTTATGCCGCCCATTACCACAATGTCAAAAATATAACTTTAAATTTTCTAAACCGAAAAATATAATGTAGAAATTTATTTGATATTTATTTGATAAAAGAAACAAACAATTAGCATTTATTAAGACAAGTTATACGTGTCGTCCCGATTTTTAGCACTATCAGAAATCGAAGTCAGGTGAGGAACTCGAATGAACTTATCTGACCAAAAGAATTCTAGCAAGGGCTGAATGTCGTGCAGTATACCTTGTTCAAGAGAAATGATATAAAGGTTAAAGCAACCAGCTCTCTTGAAACTACGTCAGTGCTCAAGACATTGTGAATGCCAAACGTGGAAATCGGAATCGACTTTGAGGGACAGACAGAGCAAATCGCCATTCTTTCTACTTAATGTTTCAATGCTTGTACATCATATCTACAACATATCTACTTTCTATCTCAAACCGTTGTTGTGCTGTGGCCAATTCTTTAACTGTGTGCCATAATTGGAATCTGTAGAATAAAGACCCGTAATAAAATACCTCCAGAAAAAGGGCATGACGTCAACTCAAATTCATGAAAACATTGTGGCAACTATTGGGGAGTCTGCAGTTTCTTATGACATAGTGAAACATTTGTGTGAAGATTTTTAATGCGGAAGAACATCCTGTAAAACCAGCATGCCGGTGGTCCTCCCATAACGGTAATAAAAGACAAAAGCAATAAAAAGGTACACGATATCGTACTGCAAAACCGACTGTAAGGGGGTCAGGCATGCAGCATAGGAATCCACCTTCGTACGTATTAAACAAACTCAATGGCAATAAGCAGCCAACATCAATTTAAACAATTGAACCAGAGGACTAATGGGGACGACAGAGTTAAACCAAGTGTGCGACAAAGACAAGTATCTTGATATTTACTTGGTTGTTTCTAGCGATATTTTTACAAGAATTTCTAAAATCAACGAGTACGGTTTAAATTTTATTGAGTGTCGAGTGTCTCCATTATGTGGCACCCCGGGCCACTAAAGTAGGGATATCTCAGGCAAAACATTGACCACAAGTACCGTTTTTACTGCAATCTGTATCCCGACAATAAGTATAAAATATGTCTTAATCAAATTACATTCTTTGGAACAAATTTTTGTATAGTCATCATAGATTTGCTCAACACCCAATAAAATTTAGATAAATAGAAAAAAGTTCTATTTTTTATGACACTGATTGCTCATTCCATAATAACTACTGTCACCATATAAAAAAATATTAATAAACATTTCTTATAAACGTGTAACTAAAAAATCAGAATAAAAATCTCAATATGCCTACCCAAAAGTCTAGGAACCATTTTTTATTACGACGGATGCACTCCGGATAAGCCTTTAGCTCATAAAAGACAACTTATCCTATTTATTATCTTATTAATTTAATTATTAATTTAAATTATTTTTACGATGTAAATACATTTTCATGTTTATTAATTAGGAGAAATCAATGTCTGGTGACTATTATCATATTTTTTTTAAATAATTTTGAATTAAATACTGTAGGTACTAAACTTAATGCTATAATCTAAATTTAATATAGTTTACTCCTTTATATTAGGCGTTCTCTAACATAATTATCTCATTAAATTATTCCCCTGTGTTAAAGTGAGAGAACACATTTCAACGCACCTTATTTACATGTACAAAATTAAATACTCCTAAATAATTCTGTCCTCGATGGTTGCTAGACGTGATAACTATTTTTTCAAGTCGGCATTGGCTTACCTTTATTTCCACATTTCTATTGATAATGGAATAGGGCGACCCTATTAGACAGTTGCTGAACTAATAAATCGTCAAAAAGCACATAAAATGTGTCCGAGCTAAGGAGTATGAGTCTAAACTAAGGCCGAATGACACTAAAATCGTCTGAAATGACATGCCTTCAGAAAATTCGATAAGAAATCAAAATCCATATGTTGAGCCACTTAATTTTTTTTAAGTAAATTCTTTAATCTTTGGACACGGGAATGACATAAATTTAAAGTTGATATTACACATAAATCGTCTCGAAAAAAATTCCAAATACGATCGGTTCAAAGACTGTATTTTTTAGGTGTTTTTCAACTCGATTTATTTTGCATTTGTAAAACCTAATTTGTATTTAAAATATGTCATTCCTCGAAGAAAAGTATAAGCTTTCAAATGCTGTTTTCGAAAATTCATTTGGTTTTGTCAAACTCTAGTCTTATCGAATTAATTGAAAGCCTACATTTGCCGTATGCTTTACAAGACGGGACGACAAAATTAAGTAAGGATATTACTCCAACAGAAACTACCCAAATGTCCCTTTGGGAGGCAATTAATATTGTGAATATAAGTGAAACGCCAAACGCGAGATATTAGCGGATCATCCTCAAAAGTTTACATTAGAA